ACGAGGCGCTAGAATACGAGGTGATACCTTCCGAACTACTCTCGATATATTATCGAATCTCTGAGTAGAGCTGCAAGTTCTGTATAAATGCTCCACACAGATAAAATCAAAAAATGCGTCGTAACCATACACAACCACTACCATCTCAACAGAGGAAGCGGCTATCCGGTGGCTTAGAGGCAGGAACTGGTGCGAACCTTACTAAAATGTTTTACTCACTCAATCGGCATATACTCACATGTAAGGGACAATCTGGGTATGTTGTGATACATTGCGGTGCCTGGCATCCTAAGACAAACTAAATGTATGCATTTGTTCACACGGATTGCTTTGTGGCAACCGTGCTTGGGTTGAACTCCGAAATGCTCACGTATAATGCATGAATTACCCTTTACTAAACTCACAGTACAGTATACTCTAGTACGTACCATTTCAATTTAAAACAGTATAATTGGCCTCATATCAGCTCCGTACCTCGCATGACGCCACATTATAACAACTCCTAATAGCTGCCTATACGCATGCGCAACCGGAGTCTATTAATACAACTTACTTTATGATGTCGCGCGAGTAATTTAATTCAAATTAACTCGCGCGGGTTATTCTGAAGCATCTGGACCATTTTAACGCGCGCGAGTTATTTTGAATTTGAACCAGGCAAAGCTATACTGAGCTCAAGTACATGTACATGCAGTTTGTGTAGCGGCCATTCGCAGGCGCCCGGCTTAGCGCAGGAACCTGGAGAAAGGGCAGTAGAAAGGACAGGTTGCTAGTGATCGAAAAAGTGGTTGTTGACGATCACTTTCCAGCTCTTTTGGTTGTTCTCGTCTTTTTTAGGTTGCCATTGTCCCAAAGAAGGTTGTTTATGGTCCAAAGTTGGTACACTGGCGACCCGGACTCATGTACTACATGTGCAGCGTGTCGCAAGTTACGCACACATTAGGTGGGTCGAACCTGGCAAAAACGGTGCTTACTTTTTGGGATATTTTCTGCTCATTTCCGAATTAAGGCACTAAGTGGCTTATTTGTGAAATGAGCTGCTTATTTCGAAGTTCAAGTTCGACATTGCGAAAGCATACTTTGCCCCCGACACCTTCGGGCCTTGGATCGGAGTGCCGCGAGCTCGCCTCGATGAAGCGTAGCTCTGGTTCACCATGCCATAGCCGCAGGCGGGCGCGGGTATGCATATACTTAAGTACAAGGACTGTCCGTGCGTGTGTGCGCAACAGGCGCCGTCTCGAAGGCAGTGGGGCGCCCTCCAAGCTGTCTGCGAGGGCATCTGTAGCAGCTATGAGATCGGTAGCATGCGTGTTGCCTATTGTGCTGCCGTCGCGTGCCTAATTCGCTAGCCCGCACCTAGCGGCCACCAACGCCACCTCCGAGATACCATCGAGGGCGCCCACGCTACTGCGGGTGGTTGCGGTGCAGATGCTGCTCAAGCGCGCCCGAGACGTAGCCCTTCCTGCTTCGCCCTCTCGGCTTCGCCACCACACCGGGAAGGGGGCTGCATCGTGTTGATTTTTCTCTAAGTACGATGTATTTGTTGAGCAAGGTCCGACACCCCCCTACCCAGTTTTAGCTTATATTTTGGTCATTTTCTTGCTGAGTCGAACCTGGAAAATCCCTCCCAAAAAGTAAGCCAAGGGATTCCCAATATATGCCCCTATTTAGCAAATCTATGGTGTATTCACGGCACTGTTTGGTGTTTTCCCGAGCTTTGTGGTGCTGCCACAGATTTGTGGTGGTGTAGCTACTGTATCGTTTGGTAAAAGTAACGCGTCCTCAATAGCGCCAGCAAAAAACAAAACAGGGCGCCAGCAAAATACGAACACAGGCGTACATAACCCCTCTTACAGCAACTGCCCCCAGTTATGCATTCACCGCCAGTTGCATGTGTTTCGCACTACGTTCAATGTAAAAAAATCTAAGCTGGCATCTAAGATGTCAGTTACGTCGGGCGTATTGATATTAAGCCAACCGGTCAAGCAAACTTGCATTCACAATGCAGGTTAAGTCGACATTGTCGAGTAAATCTGCATTCAAGATGCAGGTTAAGTCGACAATATTCATATGAAGTCGAGCGTGGAGATAGACGAGGAAGCGCCGGTTGAGCTTCTTGAGTTTGCTAGATTGATATCCTGCTCAATTGAAGTATCATATTTATAGTTAAGTCGGCCGGCCGGTCTAGCTGTAGGCCACATCTGTAGACATGAAGCTGCCAAATGCCGGATAAATCGATGCGTGACTGAGGTTGTGAGATAGGCTCTAAATAACTCGGCGCGAGGTAATGCGAATCCGGTATAATAACTCAGTGTATCCCCTCGTATGTGTTCATACAGAAGCATTTGTGGTACAGCTAGGTAGTGTCGGCATATATGTGTATGAAGCTTCGCATCAATATGTGGGTCTTAACCACTGCCATGACATGCCATAGTACAACTCGCTGCTCAGGGGGCTAACGTCTTCACCATTAGGAAGATGTGTCTGGTAGCTCTATCGACCTGCATACTGCAACGTGCTACCGATAACCGGATAAAAATATAGTCGCTATTGTGGTGGTATACTGTCGGGTGCACGAGCTTAATGTTGTCGTAGAAGCAACATTTAATTCGTAAGTGCAGCTAAGGCGCCACGTGTATCTGCTAGTTTTACATGCCATAACTAGAGGTTCGCTGCTCCTAAAAAATCTTGAAATATAAAAAAACTAAACAGAATAAGCAAGCTAGCGCGGTTTACATAACATCTTGGACACATTAAATTGCCTCGGCACAGTGCCGGTAGGTATATCAGTGAACTTGCACAACGTACAAATACTGGCGTGTCTACTGCAATATTTCCATTAATCCAAGTCAATCATGATCTACGTTAGAAGATCACAGAACTGTTCGATGTTGCTTCTTAATATATATATATATATATATATATATATATATATATATATATCCACGATCCAAGTGCAGTAGTCTAGATCATTCCTCTAGGTTGGCTTGCACGATACTAATACAATGGAATTGAGGCAATGACGGCTACCGCAGTAGCTAGATCAAGTGTTAGATGATTTTGAAGATGAAATAAATGATGTTGTGGCCCGCTATATTAATTGTGAGTGCCTTCATACAGTTGATCCATAATGATGTACGCATCGATCAGTCGGGCAACCACGTCATTTGCAGCCTTCGCCAAGGCGTATTGCAAAATACTTACAAAACAAATATGACCGTACAAAGCCAAAAGGTGAGTATATAGATATTTTAGCTCTTATCAAAGAGTGTGAATGCCTGCTTAATCGTAACCTACGACGATATGTTCACTGTTCGAGCAATAGCAGCGGTGGTTTGGCTGTGCCAGTGGTTTCATGAACTGGAAATTATCCTGCAAATTTACTCAATTGTCAGTGATTTGAATAATACCCTAAGTAATATTATATACTATTTCTTCAACTCTGCCGAGAAATGCAACGTGCGGCTGAGTTCATCGCGAACTCGATCTACGTCAGATGCATTAATGCTTTGTTAAAGAGAAAAAACTCTCGCGCGGTAAACTTAGACTTACTTACTTACTCTTCATGCTACTTTTTTTATGCGTTAACCGGATAATTGTTTTCGTTTTTGGGTTTCGACTCCCCTTCTTCGTGGTGTGGTAGGCTTCATACATATCAAGCTGGTAATACTTGTTACAGCAACTACGCCATAACTCCGTCCTATTAAAACTTCGCATACACCTGTTGACTTTCATTTATACAATATTTGTGAAAAGGGAGTGTTGGTTAATGAGTAAATCGTTTTTTCAAGTGGCGATTTTGTAAACCTGTGCGAACTAGTCCGTTTCATCAACCCGCATAGAGTTGAAATGCTAAGTTATCCAGCAATCCATCGTGAGCTGACCCTCGTTGGAATGTCGCGACTAATAATGCACGATACGCCGGCTCAACCGAAAAAAAACTACATTGGAACTGCAGTGAAGTTGAAGATGAAGCAGCAGCACTGGAAAATGCACTTTAACTCGACAGTGTCGAGGAAACCCTAATTGGGAATGCACTATAAGTCGACTCGGTCGATTTAACCTGGTATGGGTATGCAGAATAATTCGACTCATTCGAGCAAATCATCATTTAGGATACTGGCGCGATTATGCTCTCGGGGCTTGCCCCGGTTGCGCACCAAAAGCAAATCCATTTTGCTGACGCCCGGAAATCTGTTTGCTGGCGCCCCAAAACGGCGGTTTTATTTCGCTGGCGCACGCTTGGTTTTGCTGGCGCCCCATTTCGTTTTGTTTTGACCCCAAAAAGTGTTTGTTGGCACCCCGGTCTCCTCGTTTTGCTGTCACCCCAAAAGGTGTTTGTTCGCACCCCGGTCTCGATCAGCTACAGCTTTGCACTACCAATCCCGAATGCATACATGTAGCATCGTACGAGGAGATTTGTACTGTACAATCGTTGTAGAAATTTCGGCATACATGTCACACTACACATGTAACATGTGTGCTGGCGTGGTTCGAACTCACATGCGACGGCGTACTCGTTAGGGGGTGTTACAAGTCAAGTAGGATAACTTCTCGGCCAATCACAATCCATTATTTTTTGCCCCAGCTGCCCCAAGATTTTAGCTCAGGGCACTATGGTTACTTTATACCTAGCGAAACCGATTGTCACCAGCAATCGGTTTCGCCCACCAAATGACTCGAGCAATGGCCATGGGGGCTCTAGCTCTCGAGGCGGTGTCCCGCCCCGGGCGGTGGCGTGGAAGCGTATGCGTACTTTGCGTGTGTGATTGTGGTCTGCGGGCTTCAGCCCTAAAACCTAATTACCGTTACTATTTGATATCGTCAGCCAAACATTTAGCACGGAACTCACCCTTTCAGTTCTTCCCATCCCAATCGGAATCATAGTGAATGTGTTGCGTGCCTGGTCGGCAGGAGCTGCAGAAGCCGAAAAAAGTTGGGTTTGATCAGTTTCAAATTTGCAAGAAGCCAGTCAAGCCCCCGTCGCGAAGTACTCCACCATGAAGTTCGCTGCCGTCTTTGTACTCGCCTCGCTCGTGATCGTCGGCATCTCCGCCGATGATAGCTCCTCCGCCTGTGACCGGCTTCCATGCCCCGAGAATGCCCCACTCATTTGCGCAAGCAACGGCGTCACGTACGAGAATCGGTGCGTGTTCGACCATGAGAACTGCAATAGCGGTAACAAGTGGACAGTTCTGCACGAGGGCACGTGCAGCAGGAGTGAGGGCGGAAGATAAAGTCAAGTTGGCTGCCAAAACTCTGGCTGAATCGCCCCGTTATCGGAGCGGCGGCGCTCAAGGGTGTGTCTTTCCTCTTCGTGCAACTACATTTGAGTAGGACCTGTAGGCAGGGATTCTAACGAACAAAATATTCAAGGCAAGAAGGCCTCACTCTCAAGTTTACGTTTCCTACGTCGCGGATGCCGTAAAGATCCGACTTTGACTGGTACTACTATGTAGTACTGGCTTCATGAAATGGTCACTGAATTGGCCCGTGAAGCTTGATTGTCAACTCTAATACTGTCTAGTACCTCGTCGAAACTCTCTAAACGATAGCCGCTTGATATCTACACTGTTGTACGGCGTCGATAGTTCAGAGGCACAGGCGGACTTGGAGCTGGAGATCGAATCCCTGCGCGTCCTTTAGACGTCTTTAGTTTCCTCAGGACTACCCTCCTGACATAAACGTTTGCGAAGGAATTCTCGCTGCACACTCGAGTGATCGACACCTAGGAGGTTGTTGGGGCGCGCGGGAATTTCGCTGTGGGAGGCTGTTGCGTGGACGCTACTTCCAAGATTCCGTGTAAGTTGGATTTCCTGAGTGTATTCCCATCGAGCGAACAAAGTCCTCCTCTGTGGATTGCTCGGTGTAGAAGGTGAATACCATGGTATTATCTCGTAGAACGAATCCATTCCGTTGTGGTGGTTGGCGAATCCACAACCTGTATCCTAGCAAAGCTTAACTAGGCGCCACTACTGGATACCCATGATCGGGCTTGGGATTGGCTGCCTGGCTTTCCTGGGCTGCCAGCAATGGCAGGTAAGGGCAGGCAGTAGATTAGTATCAGTTCTCAATTAGCATCCCAAGGAACCAGTAATACACGTTGTTCTTGGTGGGAGTTCCAGCTCCCAGTCTACCGTGTTATACTTGCCTCAAGGTGCAACACGTCACATCCGTGAGTGATCAATTGTTCACTTGCCGTGATGATTATTTGTGCACAATGTATTGGTTAGCATTGTGGTATTTCTTAAAACCGTGCGTCCAGGGCAGGCTTGGTTTCTTCCATTAGCTGGGCTTGTGTACGCTGTTTTGCCACAGCGATGGCTTCCACAGGGAAAGAAGTCACCGGAAGTAGCGTTTGATACATGGGCGGTCGGGTCGTTTTGTGTCGGGTGTCGCTCTTAATTAAGGAAGATGATGTGGAGGTAGTCAGACGAGAGACTCGGAGGTTCCGATCAGCATGTCTTCCTGGATTGAACGGTGGATGGCTTCCTACCCCAAACTAAATCTTAGTGCTGAAGGGGTTGATGCCGACCTGCAGAACTCTCACTTTCCAATTTCGACCTCAGCATCAAGTGTTCTCCCGACATTCGCGGTGATCACCACCCCACAGCAAACCAAACCAAGAACGCTCCTCTCTCCACCGTCATGGCGACTCGACTTACACTCGCAATTGCTGTGCTCGCCTTGCTCAACGGCGGCGCTCTAGCCCAAGGTCCGCGCGGTCCGATGCGCATGGGGCGAATGCCTCGTGACCGCGAGCAATTTGGCGCAGGCAACGCTCTCGGTGGCATGGGCGGCGCAATGGGCGGTCTTGGCGGCGGTGCTAGCAATGGATTCAGCGGAGGTCTCGCGGGTGTCGGAGGTGTCGGTGCTGGTGGCTTCGGTCAGCTGGGCGGGGGTGGAGTTGGAGGTGCTGGCGGCTTCGGACAGCCCAGCGCTGGATTCGGAGATGGCGCTGCTGCACTTGGCCAGGCCGGCACGACCACAACTGGGTTGATGAATGGCGCCAGGGGCATTGGTGCTGGGGCGAGAGGCGTCGCGGGTACGACGGGTCTGGGCAACGGTGGTCCTGTGACTCCTGCGCCGACGACGCCAGGCATTTCCGGGCCGACGTCCCGCAACGGAGGCGCTGCTGCGGGTGCAGCTGGTGTCGGCGGATTTGGTGGTGCTGGAGCTGGAGCCGGTGGTCTTGGCGGAGCTGGTGGACTTGGAGGAGCTGGTGGACTTGGAGGAGCTGGTGGACTTGGAGGAGCTGGTGGACTTGGAGGAGCTGGTCCCTTTGGAGCAGCAGGCGGCCTCGGCGGCCAACTGGGCGGCTTCGGAGGACGCTTTGGCGCTGGTGCCGGTGCTGGTGGCTTTGGTGGTCTTGGAGGCCTCGGAGGCATGAATGGCGGCGGATTCGGAGCTGGGGTACTCGCGGGTCTTGGAGGCCAAGGGCGATTTGGAGCTGGTGGCCAGTTTGGCGGCGTGGCGGGCCAGGCCGCCGCCGGTGGGATGGCTGAAGCTGGTATGTAGTAGTTTGTTGCGTGAAGGTGGGGCCCCGTTCGGTTGAGCGCGTGCCTCGAGTCGCATTCGATGTGGTAAATATCAAGTTTTTTTTTCTTTCCGTGTTATTTATGCTTCTGTAAGAAACAAACCAAACAAAGTTCCCAATTCGATATCTTTTAGTAGGTAAACTGGTCGCGCACCTTAGGGTGGAGCAAAGGAAGAAGTGTGATCTCCTACTCGAAAGTTGCATTCGGAGTTTCCAGCTACCACCACTATGGCCCGACTGGTCGACTTACAACTCGCTTGCCACACGTACTGGAAGATGATGAAGACAAAAAAATCTTGACTGGAGCGAAGTTGATCGATCTCCGAAACTTGATGCTGTTCGCCATTCACTCCACCTCAGACCCAATGAGGTCATCGATTGGAAGCGCTTGGACCTGAAGCACACTCAGCAATAAACGACAATCCGGTCCTGCCTAAGTGCTTCGCGAAAGGTGCGATGCGCGCTGCCCATGTGATGTACTTCATGACTGTGTGTGTGTTTACTTTGTGGCGAAGTTCTACTGCGGAAAGGCTGCAACTGTCAGTCTTTTGAGGAAACTTCAGAACGATGTGGAGATGCAAATCGTAGCTAAACAATTAGCTACCGAGTTTTCGCTTTCGGAGAAGGTCGAGAATGCCGTGGGTTTATCTTCACGTGTTGGTATGAGATTAAGAATCCGGCCAAGGCAGGATAGAGCTCGTCGATGTTCATGTTCACGACTGAGCCGTACGTCGAGGGTGAGTACAACAACAACAACGGCTGGATCAACGATGACGGGCTGAATCTAAGTGAGACTGCGCAAGCATTCAGCCACTTCACGTGGCAAAAGACGTACGGACAGCTGATGGTGGTGGATCTTCAGGGCGTTGAATGCATCTTCACGGGCCCGCAGATCCACTCGAAGCAGAGAGACGAATTTGGTTGCGGCAACTTGTCGGACGCTGGGATTGCCACCCTCCTCGTGACGCACGAGTGTAATGCAAAGCTCTCCGGCTAATGCCAGCGAGATCCTCGAAGTCAGGATCGAGAGTAACCCAAGGTTGCTGACACAGCCGAACGAACATCCGATGGAGACTCGACCAAGAAGGCTGCCAACAAGTCGATGACGTGTAGCTGTCCGTTGTGTGGTGGGATCACGACTGTGCTGCACAGTGACTTCACCGAAGCGCACTGGAAGGGCCGTGAGGTGTACTGCGAGTCCTACGTCGCCAAAGAAAGAAGTATGAGCAACGCGCGTGCAGTGTGTGCAAGGGAGAGCTCGCGCTTCCGCCCTCCTGGTACTCTATGCAGGGCATGGAACCCCCGACGAACTGCAAGAGCTGCAAAGCGAAGACGGCCAAAACGAGAGCGAAAACGTCCAAGTCCATGTCGACCAAGTCCTCGCGTTCGCGGCGCTTGTTGGTCCGAGCGGCTGTGGTAAGTCTTCGGTCACGTCACTTCTTGCACGTTTCTACGAGTTGGACCAGGTTGGCTGCGGCGGAAAGATCACTTTGGATGGAGCAGACATTTCGACTCTCAACCCGGCGGAGCTGCGCGGTCTTATGGGTGCGGTTCCTCAGGAACCGCCACTTTTTGCGTGCTCAATCAGGGATAACATTGCCTACGGCTGCTCTGAGGGCCAGGAAGCGACACTGGAGGATGTTATCCACGCAGCAAAGACTGCGAACGCTCACGATTTCATCATGTCTTTCCCTAACGGATACGACACGATTGTTGGTGAGCGTGGCCAAGCTCTTTCGGGTGGCCAGAAGCAGCGCGTAGCCATTGCTCGTGCGCTGGTAAAGCGCCCCAAGATCCTCATCCTTGATGAGGCTACGTCAGCTCTGGACCCAGAGAGTGAGAGACTTGTGCAAGATGCCGTGGACCGCGCTAAGCAGGGCCGTACGGTTATTCTGGTGGCACACAGACTATCGACTATCAAGAGCGCTGACCGCACAGCCGTGATCTCGGATGGCCGTGTGGTGGAGCAGGGAACCTTTAACGAGCTTGCCGCTCGTGAGGACAGTACTTTTAAGCAGGTTGTCCTGAACGGGCAGAACGAACTAACTCCGATTCACTTCCATCGGCTTGAGTTCACAAGCAGTGTGGGCGGGTGAGCGTTGTTGATACATAGAAAACAATTCATGAATAACAGATGTGCGGGTGACGGTGTATTCATGCGGAGTGTGGTTGTTATTCATTGAATGCTGGTTTGCTGGATGAAACAAGCGAAGGCGAAGAGGTGAGTTTGCAGCTACGAAAGGAGAATCATGGAGAGACTTACACTGATTTCAAGTATTCCTTGGTGAAAAGGTCCAGCGACAGGGATCCACTTCGAACTGCTGACACTGCAGCGGCCCCACTCCCCACAGGCGTCGTCGCTCGATTTCCCTCTTCGATTACGTCGCTCTGTCCAGACTCAGACTGTCCTTCTGGATTCGACCTCTTGCCGCTGCTGGTGGCTTCGAAACTCGCAAATGAACTTGATGTATCGGGAAGACTCGCTGAAGCCTGCAGTACCGGGAATGGAATTTCATCTCTTTGTGCGCCACGTCCGGATGGCTGCGAGCTCCAGCTGATTTCCAGCCTATCCATGTTAACTGCTGAAGCTTTCTCAGACGGGAACAGGTGATTGTACAGGAAGGTGAGCACCTCGTCGTGAGCTAACAAACGTTCGATTAGTCGTACGCGGTCATTTGGTGTGAAGTCATCCAGCTCAACGTCGAATCTTGGTTGGCGAGGTTTGTCCCCGGGTGCTGGCAAGCGTGCACCCCGTTGTGCTGCCCCCTTCCTATCAACTAGGGAGTTTGGCCCACAATCGCGTCTTCGACCCACTTCCTCCTTCACCGAGTCAACACATTGCAGGAAAAACCGCTCAAGAAGCGATTGTCCGGTACCCCCATCTCGCCTCAGCAGGCGTTGCTGCCTTTTGATCGTTGTGAGCTCGTTTGATTTATGCTGCAGCTCCCGTTTCAAGGCGTGGATCTGCTTTTTGAGTTTTTCCTCTCGCTCTTCTGCCAACATCGCCGCCTGCCCCGTTGAAGCAACGTCCAGATTCAAATGGGGTAAACCATGAGCTCCTACTGTTGGTGCTGCGGCGGATATCGGATCTTGCGAGCTTCGATGCTTTTGCATTTTGGAGCCTGACCTACTCTGTGTGTCGAAAGGAGGGAAGACTCCACCAGAATCCGACCCAGAATTGTTTCCAGGCACGGCGAGACGAACATCAAGTTCGGCACGAAGCAGTTTATTCTGCTTTTTGCACGCCTTGAGCTGCTTCTCGAGCCAGTTCCGGTCCTCTTCGATCGCCTCCAAGTTTTCTTTCATGTACTTGAGGTCTTTCGTCATTGTTGTCGTGAAGGCATCCAGTCGCAGCGCCTCCTTCCGGTACCAGTCGCGCTCGTCTTCGATCTTCTTGATCTTCTCGGACTTGTTCTCCACAGTCTCGTTCCGGTGAATTTTCTCACGCATTTCGTGCAGCTCCTTCTGGACGTTGTACATGTGCGCTCGATACGCAGCCAAGAAATCTCGCTCCTGTCGAGCCAGCACTGCGCTGATTTTCTCGGATAAAGAGCCAACAACATCGTGAAGCTGTGCGTGCTTCTCACGAACTAATGCCATGCTGCGATCATGAAGTACAAGAAACGATCAAACGTGAGACCACGACAAGTTGCAAAAGGTAAGACTGGGAGTCGTACGCTGGCGCTTCCTCGATGACGATTGTGTTGGAGTTCTGCGCATTCCGGTTGCCTGCACCGGACTCTGAGATCCGCTTGATCGACGTCAAGAAGGTCTCCTTGGAGAAGACCTCCACATCTTCTTGGTTCATCGGACTCAAATCACGCAGTACAGTCCAAGTTCTAGCGCAGGTGAATGCGACAGCGAGACGGGGACCAACGAAGTCTTGTCTTTGGATAAATGCAACCACGGTGTCATCAGAACCCACGGAAATAGCGAGCACTTTCGATCAAGAAACGGTTCAACGCCCCCCCCCCCCACCATGAAAGTGCTTGTGTATGGGGGCTGACAGCCTGCATCGCCTCGATGCCAGTGCCATACTAGCGCAAGGGTTCCATGCACTGGTGCTATAATTCTGTAGTATGCTTAAGGCAATCGGCATGGCAATTTACGTGATGTCTACTGAAGGAATAGCAAGAGATGAATCGTCCAAGAAACCGTCACCAGAACGACGCTTGAGCAGAATTCAACATACACAGCGTCAACCAACTCGGAACGCGAGCTCGACGCGATGTTCCAGTCACGAGCTTCCCTGGCTCCTTCTATCTCCTCGTTCCCACCGGCTGACATCTTCTACGACTGGGACAGCGACGAAAGCGACAGCGATGTGGAGGAGCTCTTCAGCGCCGAAGACTTCGTCACGGTATCCGAAGACCTTCTGCTCGTGAAGCTACGGTGCTTTCATCCGAAGCTGGACGTGACGGGACTCTCCGCTGCCTTCCAGCGAGAGTTTAGCGTCACGAGAGACTCGCAAGAGTTGGAAGCGAGACTCCAGAAACTGCAGGCGCCCGAGTTCCGAGCTTTGTTCGTTTTGTACCTGAAAGCTGTTAGTATCGCCAAGGAAGCTCAGTACACGACCAACGCAGGATCAGGGATTTTACCGGAGTACCAGCCTCTCCTCGAGAGCACGAGGACGTCGTGCGAGACCCAACTCTTCCAGATGATGTACGACCTCGACAAGTACCAGCAAGAGGCGTCTGAGATGCTGGCGGTGGAAGTGTCCGGTCGGAACTTCCCCAAATACTCGCGCTCGGTCTCGAGAGCGGAGCTCCGTCGTTGCTGCAAGGTGATCGACGACTTGTTCCGGCGTCAGGTGGAAGGCGAAACAACGGCGTCGCACCAGGCCTTCACGTTGTACGCGGCGCAGACGCTGAACGAGAAGCTGATAATCACGGACACGGCACCTCGCTACGACTCCATCTCGGTCTTCAACCACTTCGAGCAGCCGATCTTTGATCGTCTCATTCTCTACGCGAAGGACCCGCAACTTGTTGAGCGATTGGCGCTTCAAAGACAGCAGCAAGTGGAGGCGAACCGCATCAAGCAGCAGTTCTCGCAGCAACTTCGATCGATCTTCGAGACTTTGCGACTCAAGCAAGCGGAGAGGCTCGAGCAGATGCAGGTACAAGAGCTCGAGACCATTCAAAATCAATTGGAGAAGACGCTTGAGGCCGATCTCCAGCATATTCGTCAGATGCATGCAGCCCTACTGAACCATGAACGCGCGAAGATCAACGCTAAATATGAGGAACAGAAGACTGTGCTGAGCGAGAAGGTGAAGATCATGCAGCGAGAAGTGATGGCACTCCAGAAAAAGTGTGACAGCAATGGATGGCACGGACTTGAGCGCCTCATCATGAATACGTCCCTGCAGGTGGAGCGGATCTTCGGCACGAGTGAGTATCTCCTGCGTCTGCTCATTCTCGCGGAAGACTTGCATGCAGATCCGTTGAGACGTGCACTGGTGCGCTACATCAGCGAAGAGAACAAGCTCCCGCAATTTGTACTTCGCCGCGAACTGACCAGCAAAATGGTAGCGGAGACGACAATACTCGCAATGCTCAAGGAGGCGACAACCAAGGACCTTCGAGAGGTTGCCACCTTCGGAGCGAGCTTCCTCCACCAGGATTTGGTGACGCGCGAACTTCACACTCGGAGAATCGAGTTCGGGAGGTTCCTAGCGGGGCTCACAAACGATCGACTTCGAGCTGCACGCCGGTACGCTGTTGCCAAGAAACTTACCGGTAAGGCTTCCAACTACGAGACTGCGTACACGTCCGACAACCAAATTGGCCAGGATCAAGATGACGATTCTCAGACTGTGATCCTCGACGCTGAGTTTGATCGCTTTGCTGCGGCTCTGGAAGATTTTCAAGATATTCTATCGCAGGAGTTCACTCGGCGTCGAGAATTTGCTTGCGTGAAGATGGATAGTACGGATATCGAGCAATACGTGAGCTTCGCGGCTGAAGACTGTGTGTTGCAACTGGAAGCCTCGCAACGATACTGCACTGTACACGCGACGAAGGAGCGACGTCAAGGAGAGTCAGGCAAGTGGATGTTTGAGGTGACCATTGATGTCTTTGGCGGAGACGGTGAAAGCCTGCTGATTGGATGGGAGGTACCTCGTGGCTCAAACGCGGCAGCGGCAGAGCCCGACGCAAGCTCCTTACCCTCTTCTCCAAGTAGTAAAGTGTCTAAACAACATGACACTGGGTCTGTGGTGCCGGGGATTTCGCCAAGCGATGATGGACGCAGCTACGGTGTAACTTGGCAGGCTGATGGCGGTCTTGACATGGGTATGCTACATGCTAATGGGGTTTCAAAGTCGGGAGTGCCAAGTTTTCGAGCTGGTGACACTATCGGCTGCACCATCGACCAGGACTTGGCCGTTCCTCAGTTGCGCTTCTACCTCAACGGGGATGTTACACTACCGCTACGCCGAACAACTACTGCAGGGGGAGGAGTATTGTCGGCAGCGGATTCTTCAACTTCATCTGAAATTTCGACCAGCTTCGGCATCGCAGTCACGAACCCAGCATACAGATTGGTGCCTGTGGTTTCGATGTACTCGTCCAGCAAGAAGCCACAGATGCGGGTATCCTTTAACTTCCGAGGTGACTTTCGGTTTCCCATTCCAGGATTTGATCCTTTCGGTGCCCCATTATAAGCTCATAGACCATTGGGCGCCTTCCAAAACCTACATAAAACGGTTTAATCACGGTCGGTTTGATGCCCCCTTTAATAACAGTTTTATAAGTTTTATCCGCATTAAATTTTCGGTCAAAATTCCGACGTCCAAAACCTGCATTAAACGGTTAGTCTGGTCGACTCAATGTGTCCCGTTCATTAAAACTATATGGGAGATTGTATGACACAGAAATGAGGCACATTAGATCTGGACAAATATCACAAAATAATCTCGATATCTTTCGATACGAAAAGCCGCGAACTCTCGTTCAATCACTTCCGCACACCCGGCAGAACGTCGACGCCTCCCTGTGCGCCGGCACCGCGTCCACATGACTGACCCCAGGCAGCTGGTGGTGTTATGCATGATGTTGGAGACCCGTCAGCGAATGCTGGATGCTGTCAAAGATCTGCGACGGCGCCTTGGTGAGGAGAGGAAACGCGCCGAACACGCTCGCATGGTCCGTATCCGACACTACGTGACCACTTCCTGTCTACCAGCTCCGCGGCTAGCCCCCTGGATGCATATCTGGTGGTTCGGCAGCGATAAGAATTTCATAACGATCACCAGTGTAACGGGGTTACATAGAATAGTGACCCTGTCACTATTCCGGGATGGCTACATCGGTCACTCCCCTGGATAGTGACCCAAGTGGCCTCAGAGCCAACAGATACATTTTGTATGACACAAACTATAGGGAACTTAGGATTTGTATGCAGGCCAAATCTGTACCAACCTATAAATACATTCAGTCTTAGATCTACCGCTTTTCAAGTCAAGTCGTCCCCTTCAGACCAGGGACACGTGAACGGCTGTTCACTTGGAGTTTGTATACTCCTGCTTCCTCTGTTAAGAAGTGCTGTGTGCCCCATCACACTTGGTAGCACTTGTAGTCAATCCTACGCCTACGCGGGTAGATTGGACTACCTGAATCGTATGTGGTCTCATCGAGTGAGCCAAGATGGATCGTACGGAGTTTCCCCATCTGGACGACTCGCAGTACGAGTCCGTTCGTAAGATGGCAGGTATCTTTGGGACAGATGCCCTGCGTAGCTTAGCGGCGGCGACGCCGGCTGAGCAGGTTGAGCGTATCAACGCGTTCGACACCTACGAGCGAGGGCTCATCGCCCACGTTCAAGGGCTGCAGGCCACTGCGGCCGCGCCGAAGCCGGTGCAACCGAAGCCCCTGCGGCTGAAGGTTCACCCCTTCGAAGGGAAGGAAGGAGAAAACCTTCACTTCTGGGTTCGAGAGGTTGAGCTCGCGATGGACGCGGCTCTCGTCTCGGACGAGCGACTCCGTGTCGCCTTTGCGCTCTCCAACCTTAGTGGTCGCGCTAAGAGTTGGGCGTATACGCGCGAAGCGACGACGCCTGGATGCTTTGCATCATGCTCCCAGCTGTGCGAGCAGCTGCGGGCCGCGTTTCTTCCGGCGAACTACGAGTACCGCCAGCGTTCGCGCTTCCTCGCCTGCAAACAAGGAAGACGCGAGCTGCATGAGTACATCCAGGAGATGCGAGTGCTCACTGCCTCTTTGGTGGGGAACCCCCTGCCTAAACACATCAAGGTGACCGTGTTCATGGACGGTCTGCGTGTCGGTCCTGCCCGCACGCAACTGTTCCTTGTGCAAGCAAACACTATGGAGGAGGCGATTCAGATTGCCCTCCAGGAGGGGTACAGCCACAAGCAGGCTCGTACCCCAGCCACGGTATGGCAGAGCAACCCTGCCTCTGGCGGTGCGCCTAATGGTAACTCCGGCAATGGAGCGATCAACGGGCCGGTTCCCATCGATCTGGGCATGGCCGAGCAGAGCGACATTCGCTGCTACGGCTGTGGCAAGCTTGGGCACATGAAACGTGCTTGTCCCGCGGGAGGACTGAAGAAGTTCTCTTCGAAGCCCTTTGGCTCTAGGGGTCGCTGGCAGAAGCCGCGCCCCAGGAACCAGGGGAACGCCGGACACCAGTAGGGGCGGGGCGCCCTACTGGGGAAACACTAAGTCTTCATGAGAGGCGTGCGGGTGGCGCACACCATGGGGACTTAGCCCCTGAGAGTGTCTGTACTCTCGAAGCGGAGAAGGGCCGCGGTGGGCTGCTTGTGGTGCACGCGAGTGTACCGGGATACGAGCATCCCTTGAGAATCTTGATCGACTCTGGGGCGTCCAAGAACTTTGCGCGCCGCCAGACTGTCGCACGCAATCGCGACAAGTACGCCGATGCGCTACGAGGCAGCAAAGGCAACGGGCTGGTCTCGGTAAGACTGGCCGACGGTACGGTGGTAGAAGTACCTCGGGTCCACGTGGACCTCACTGTCAAGTTCGAGGACTTCGACAGCACAGAGCCGTTCTTGGTCCTAGACATGGACAAGTACGACTTGATCCTTGGCATGCCGTGGCTGGAGAAACACCAGCCTTGGATCGACTGGCGCGGCAAGGCCATCGGGACCAGCCGCCCCCCACGCTCTGACAGCGATTTGGTGAGTCATGTTCCCACCTCTGGCAGCAGCTGGGGCGCGCGCGAGGGCCGCCAGGGCGCAGCAGCGTCTAATGAGTTCTTGGGGTCCGTCGAGACTGACGACGACTCCGACCGGGCCGGACAAGGCCTGAGAGTGGAGGTGCCGGACAGCACCTACCAGGTGAGTAACGTAGGTCCACACGCGGGTAACGAAGTACCGCAGGCAGCAAGGGCTGCTGGAGAAGGCGCCGCTGGCGCTGGCGTGGGTAATCAAGTTCCACGCGAGGTCATTCAGACCGTAAGTGATGAGGAAGGCACTGCAGGCGCTTCCGATGTGGGTAACATAGTTTCACAGGAGGTCACTCAGACCATAACTGATGCGGGAGTCGCTGGAAGCGCTCCTGGTGTGGGTAACCAAGTTCCACACGGCGAGGTGGGTAACATAGTTCCACCCAGCAAGGCGGGCAACCAGGAAAACCCCAGGATTTGCATATAATTCCCAACCCGTTGGGGGTGAGAATAAATGGAGGATAATATCCCCAGATGTGTATTAGATGTGACGAGCTGATTAGTATCACAAGCTGTAAAACCTAGATCAATTCTCAATTTTACAATCGTGTACGTAGCCTTGCCACATGCTTGGTTTCCCAAAAGGAGTAGCGATCTGACCCATCTGTCTCAAAATGAGTCGTTGTTGCAAAACGAGTAGTTGGGGTGCACCACATACCATTCTTGGCGATCGTAGGATAGAGTATGTGCTATCTGCGGTATGACATTGCCGTGGGTTTTAGCTGGCATTCTCCATCTTTCTCGTAGTGCTATCACAACCAGCTCCCTGCTCTAGACCCGTCCCATCATCGCAATGGCATCGGCTCGCGCGCTCATGGACTTAAACGCTGAACACGGCACGTCTGAATTGAAGGAGGGCATGCGCTTCAGCTCCGGCAAAGACGCGACCTATTTCATGCAGGACTACACGTACAATGCCAACACACGCTGTTGTGTTAAAAGCAGTGGAACAATGCAGACGTACACTTGCACCCACGACAAAAAAGCCAAGCCCAAAGGGGCCGTCTCGAATGACGAGGGAGAGACAACTGTCATCTCCTCGGTCGACGACAAGAATATTCCCGGTGATGTCTGTGGCTGGGAGGTTCGCGTCTCGATCAAGAGAGAGCGTGGTGAGTCTCAGCTCTTCTGGGTTTCGTATATTAACGACTTGCACAGCGACTTGTGTACGGAGGCGGGAGCCGCAAAGCAGCCACAATAGATACTCCGTAAGCTCAGCCAAGCTCTTGGCCAGGAACTTGTCACCTGTGGGGGGGCAGCTGATCCAGCGGCTTAATGTCCTTGGGGAAGGCGTGGTGCACCTGCGTGGTCTGCATCAGGAATGTGGATGGTATGTGGTGCACCCCAACTACTCGTTTTGCAACAACGACTCCTTTTGAGACAGATGGGTCAAATCGCTACTCCTTTTGGGAAAAGCTCCTTGGCTGAGCGCAAACTCTCCGACAAATCTCGATGGAGATTTGAGATTAGCCAATAGGCTCGCTTGCATTTTATCCCCAGACCCAGACACCGACGGAGAAACCAGGGCCAAAGGCCCTGGTTTCTCCAAAGGAATTCGGTACTGGTACACACCACAGTGGGGTCCACGTGGGGTCCACCCGTCAAGTCAAGTCAAGCACCGAAAGCGTCAAATCCTGGAATGGGAAACCTGAAGTCACCTCGGAAATTAAAGGATACTCGCGTCTGCGGCTTCTAGCAAGACGAGTACATCGAAACCACAGGCACCAATCTGTATACTGCGATGCCGAAGCTGGTCGAAATTTCAGATGAAGCCTAAGAATCCGCTGCCGACAATACTCCTCCCCCTGCAGTAGTTGTTCGGCGTAGCGGTAGTGTAACATCCCCGTTGAGGTAGAAGCGCAACTGAGGAACAGCCAAGTCCTGGTCGATGGTGCAGCCGATAGTGTCACCAGCTCGAAAACTTGGCACTCCGAACTTTGAACCCCCATTTGCGTGCAAGATTCCCATATCGAGACCTACGCTCTAGCTGCGTCCGTCATCGCTTGGCGAAATCCCCGGCACCACAGACCCAGTATCACGTAGTTTGTGCACTTCACTACTTGGAGGAGAGGACACAGAGCTCGTGTAGCGGTCGTGTTCAAGCCACGAGGTACCTCCCACCCGTCACCAAAACCATCAATAGCCACTCCTTGACGTCGCTCCTTGGTTGCGTGCGCTGTGCAGTATCGTTTCGAATGCATCACGCAGTCTTCAGCCGCGAAGCTCACGAACGGCTCAATACCAGCACCATCCGTCTTCACGCAAGCAATTTCTCGATCGTTCGTGAGCCCAGCTATAATAGGAACCGCACGCCTGAAACAAACCAAACCAACCTCCAGGTTCATAGTTCAAACCAAACCAAAATTACCAGCAAACCAGGTTCGTTACGGTTTCACGGTTTGGTTCGAACCGACCGAAAACAAACCAAACCAAAACAAACCTCTAGCATCGGATTGGTCTAAATCAAGCGCTTGCTGACTACTCGCGTGCGGCTAATACAGAAAGTTTTGCGATGTCGCAGAGCATTGTCAACTAGGTCGCCTTCGACTTGGCTGGAAACATCTACAACTAAAAGTGCTGCTACATATTGGTGTTGGTACTATAATAGTGCTAATTGCCGTGACGAGGACGTGCCCTTGCGGGACCACACCCATGAGTATCGCGTGTGCCGCAATTCACTTGCTGAAGCTGGCGCGTGGAGCTTGAATGGCGATATGCCAAGCCAAAGGCTGCTGAATTAAGTTCGCATACTTACAAAAGACGTGCGCACGGTTGCTGACACTGACATCTTACAAGCTGTACATCTTGATCTTCATGAAGATCGCGGCCGTGAGGAAGCCCAAAGTGCTCATTATGCCGCCCAGGAACACCGGTAGTTTGTAGCCCAGTGAGGTGTCCACAATAGCCGTGCCGACAGCGAAATTGAGCAGCTGGCCGAAGCAGTTGGCCGAGTTCAAGGCCCCCACGTACATGCCGATCTCGACGTCGTTACCCATCACGTGGATGATGACCGGCACGATGCAAGAGAACCACACAGCGGAGGTCACGCCACAGATAGCGACAACGAATACATCGAAGCCCTTGTTGCTGACCCAGGCCATGATGAGCAGGAACATCTGCGGCACGG